AATACAAAACTGACAATAATTTCAATACAATCATCAGATTATCTGATGAGTGAGATTTAAAATGGTCTAACTTCAGTAGCAATTGGAAACTCAGGGCATCTCCAAGGACACTCTCAGGATCCGTTACTCTCACTGACAAACTTTACACTGAGCTTATGTGACAATTTTACTAAAAGTAAATACAGTTGAAGCTTTCAACATCACTCACAATGGATCTTGAATGTTTCCTCTGTAAGCAGACATATCTAACCTAATGGAACGCATATGCATTCATGCATAATTTTGCATTCTAAATCATCATATGGGATATTAATAGGTATTACTAGAGAAGTTTAGTTTAGGTTCTACTTTAGAGAAAACGAAGGTCTCAAGTGTACTGAAGCGCTAAGAAAACGGACGTCTTAAATGGGTGACTCAATAAAAAGTTATAGCTCCATGTTTTATGGCTATTGAGCATAATATGAATCGTCTGATTTCACGTAAACTAACATGTACGACCGTGGTCAGTACACAAGCCTAGTCAGAGCTAAATATAATTAGTGTTTAAGAATTGTGTAATTGTTGTGAGTAATTTAAAGTGAAAAGACACACTTAAGGAATTGTACATTGGTAGTGTACTGACTGTATATATTCGAAGTAAAGAAGAAGTCCAGTGGTAAAGAAATACCCTGTGAACAGTTTTGTGAAGACTTAGTTATTATTAAAGAAGACTACAGCTCACAAGTGTGTTTCTGTAACCTGATGGAAATCTATTGTTTTGTCTGTACACTGATACCGATCATAGGGAAATTACCGTAGACTGGCGGGACACCTAGTGGTAATTCGACGACAATTATGATGTATCTATTGCTTCTATATACACGATCTAGCCCCTGGTAACCAGCAGCGGAAGCTGGTAAGCGACAAAAGGGGTTCATAACAATATACTCTTATTAGCTGATATATCAATCAATCAGAGTACCGTCCTCATATCAGAAGATTGGCGACAACAGTCATCCACTCCTCACGTTCTCGGGCTGTTTTTACCAATCCAAGGTTTTGTATCTCTCTCTTTTTACTTTATTAACTGTTCTCCTCTTCTCCACTGATCGGCTCGTTAGCCGCTAGGACGGTTGGTCACTTCTCTTTTACGCACTGTTGGCAAGTACTGGGCATGAACTGGCTCCCGAATGTATCTGAACCTGTTCAGCTTTGTCTTGAGGGAGCTCTCACTCGGTGCTGTCACAACACTTCTTTTAGATTGTTCCAAGAGTTCACAATCTCTCATTCATCCAACCCTGTCTTTGCCTCCCCCTGGCCCTCATGCCCTCAACTGCGCTCATTAATATTTCAGTTATTATCCCATCATCCTTAATTATATTACAAAAAAAGTCTTTTGGGTTGGGTCAAACGATGAGCAAGACAGGAGGATGTATACAAGAGCCAGAAACCAAGCAAAGATAGAGTGTAGGAGGATTTAAAAGGAGTTCCAGAGGCTGGTTGCAAGCAAGGTCAAGTCAAACCCAAAGGCGTTTTACCGTTATGCAAAATCGAAACTGAAAACGCGAGTAGGAGTATCAGACCTGAGGCTGGTGGATGTAGTTACGCAGATTCTGACCAGGATAAAGCTGAGGCATTGAACAGCTTCTTTTCCTCGATGTTCACAAGAGAGGATGCAACTAACCTTCCTGCGTTTGAGGACAGACGGTTCGACACAGCACTGACCCACGTTGTGTTCACAGAAGAGGGTATTAGAAATAAACTGTCCAGGCTAAAAGTCCATAAGAGTCCCGGATCTGACATGGTGCATCCTAGAGTGCTAAGAGAGTTGTGCAACGAGCTTGCAGAGCCCCTGAAGATTCTGTTTTGTAAATGCTTAGATGAACAAATGGTCCCCAGTGAATGGAAAGTGGCTTATGTGAGTCCTATCTTCAAGAAGGGCGATCGTCACTCCACGAACAACTATAGACCGGTGAGCCTGACCAGCATAATATGTAAAGTACTTGAGAGTATTATCAGAGATGCCGCAATGGAACATCAAATACGAAACAACCTTGTAAAAGATTGCTAACACGGTTTTATGCCGGGGCGCTCCTGCTTAACACAATTGCTCAAGGTATTGGATATTTGGACCCATATTCTGGAACGGGTTGGTAATATCGACAATATTTACTTAGATTTTACCAAGGCTTTCGACAGTGTACCCCACGAAAGGCTGAAAATCAAACTGGAAGGGTACGGAATTCGGGGAAATGTCCTAGCGTGGATAGAATGTCATGATCGTGATGACGGCTAACCTGAAAACCTTAAGGATTCATTACGCTCAAACGTCCACAAAACCTTCCGAGTCCCCCAGTGGAACGTCCCCCGTTTTCTCTGTTTCCTTGAGGGAACTTTGAATATAATCCGCGGATTTCGTAGCAGACGCTGTATGTTGGGCCCTGTTGCCATCCAACCCTTTGTAATCAATTTAATTTTGCTTTTGATAGCTGAGTCAGAGCATTGTTAGTGAGGATAATAGTAGGGAATGAAACTGAGTTCATAGTCTCAGTTTCAACGTCAGAGTGTACAGTAAATTAATTCATCGAAATAGAAGTAGGTGGACTCCCTGGCCTATTTTGAGTGGGTGCCGCGGGCATTTCTACCGTTAGTAAGTGCCCGTCCCTTCATCCATACAGGTCCCTAACGCAGCCTAGGCCGTGTCTGTAGCGTGGATGTGGTATCCACTATGTCTGGGGAGATGTCCGAGGTCCAGTAGGATCAGTTACCTTCGTCAGACCCGGCCGTCAGACACTTCAGACTACCTATGGCCCCCATAGCTGGCTCGTCTGGCCCTAATGCTCGGCCTGCGAGGTGACCCCGGATCACCAAGCCACACACCACTACCAGCCCCATCATTGGTGGATGAGTGTCTAACTCAGTCGGGCTATTTGTGTGGTGGGATTAATCCACTGGGATCTTCAGAGTTCGTCGGAAAGTACTCCATGGTGGCTGGACCCCGTGGCTGTTGCTTGAGTATCACTCCTGACGACTGAGTGTTGTAGTGGCATTTGCCCTGGTCTTTATGGTGCTAAGTGACTATAAGAGTTATGTGTTATTGAGTATGTCCACCCAGTAGGGTTGGAAGTGTTATTGAGTATGTTCACCCAGTAGTGGTGTGAGTATGTTGAGCCTGAGGGCCTAGTATTATATTTCGTCTGTTGGCACATATAAATTCTTTCTCCTAATTTCATATTAATGTTTAAATAAATTTTGTATTTGTATATTGCGTCTATTATTGACCTACAGTATTTACCGTTATTTCTTCCCTATTACTTGTCACTATCATTACATCTACCCACGAGCCTTCTCGTCACGCTACCCATGGTAATAAGTATGAGAGTAAAAGGAATTGTTACTGACACACAGGCCCTTATAAAATGGTGGCAGCCCAGGCCCTCATGAATGGTGGCAGCTCAGGCCCTCATGAATGGTGGCAGCTCAGGCCCTCATAAGAAGACTTTCTACATGACCGCAAGCAGTGTGTGGTGATTAATGGCACGAAATCGTCATCTGTACCTGTCACAAGTGGGGTACCACAGGGCAGTGTATTGGGCCCGCTGTTGTTTGTTTGTTCCATACAAATGTTTGCCGATGACGCCAAGTTATTTCGGGAAATTAAGAACCAAGCGGACTGTGAAGAACTGCAAAAGGACCTCTGTGGGCTCCAAGAATGGTCGAAGAAATGGCTGCTGAGATTCAATGTCACGAAGTGTAAGAGGATGCACCTGGGGCGTACCAACGGTAAGGAGGCGTATCATATGTCCCAACGGGATGATGAAACTGCACAAGTTGAGACTGTGTGTGAGAAGGACCTAGGTGTGTATGTTGACAATGAGCTGAAGTTCTCGGGCCATTGCTAGAAGAAGGTAAATCAGGCAAATAATTTATTGGGTCTTATAAGAAGGTCGTTCAGATATCTATACGGTCCGTCCCTCGTAACGATCTTCAGGAGTGAAGTGCTTCCCCATCTGGAGTACTGTCACCCCATCTGGTCCCCGAGATATGCTAGGGACTGTCAGTTGGTTGAAAATGTTCAAAGGAAGGCCACCAGACTGGTGCCTGCACTTCGGCACCTCAGCTACCCTGAGAGATTGGAGCGCCTGAACTTGCCTAGCTTATACTACAGACGGGCAAGGGGGGACCTAGTTGAGGTGTATAAGCATCTCAAGGGGCACTACTCAGTTGAGTGTCCTTACTTGGAGCTGGCGGACGCTCGCCCCACAAGGGGTCACAGTTCAAGATTGAAGAAGCCGCAAGTCCAGAAAACCGTGAGGGCAAACTTTTTCGGAGTAAGGGTTGTAAACTCTTGGAACAATCTACCAGAGAGTGTTGTGACGGCACCGAGTGTGAGCTCTTTCAAGACAAGACTTGACCAACACTGGAGCGGGTTCAGGTACATTCAGGAGCCGGTACATGCCCAGTATTTGCCAACAGTGCATGACAGAGACGTGGCCGATCGCCCGGGCGGCTAGCGAGCCGATCCTTAGGTGAAGAAGATAAATGAAAAGGAAAAGTAATCAGAGACGTGACCGATCGCCCGGGCGGCTAGCGAGCCGATCTTTTGTTGAAGAAGATAAATGAAAAGGAAAAATAATCAGAGACGTGACCGATCGCCCGGGCGGCTAGCGAGCCGATCAGTGGCGAATAGGATAAAAGTAACAGTAAAGCACTTGCTTGTCGCTAGTGTCCAGGGTTCAATCCACAGTTTTTGTCAAGGATGCTGTGACCCAACCAAACAGCGCTAGTTTTTTCCAGGCCCTTAAAAAATAACAAAGTACAGTTCGAACCCCTGAACGGCGAGTGAACTGATAAAATAAAATAAAAATATTAGAGAATACAGAAATATAGTACATCATTTACTTATTATTTATGTTATTTGGATATTAAAATTAAACAGTTCAATAATTTACACTAAAATAATCTACATATTTGCAATATATATTATTTTATTGACGTAACCCCTATCACCTGCACCAGAGGCCACAGAGCAGCAGGTCCAGGGAGCCAAGTGGTGAACATGGCTGAGTGGAGGGACCCGTCCTTCACTATAGTCGAGTATATGGCGGACCACAGTGGCTATGAGTGTGGCTACTGTAAAAATAAGAACACAAATTTTAGTCATGGTAATATTATTTGCAGAACATTGTTTATGCTTAACATTGCAACAAGTGTTTACCTGCACTGAGTGTTTGGTCATGGGGCTATATTACTGTACATAGATAAGATGTGAAAATTGATCTCACAAGGTGTTATTTGTAGGACTAAATATGTGTATTACAGTGTATATTTAACTTTTCCCCAGAAGAATGGATGAGATACCGTATATAGGAGGAATGCACCATCCAGGGAATAAGTGGGTGCTCCTGGAATTTTCATGTAGTGACGGTGTTCTTACCTTTAAGAGACCTACACTGTTCCAAGATTGACCCATGTAATTTGGGAATTCAAAATTATGGTGTGTGTGTGAGTGGTTCCAGAAGTCATGCTTGGCATTTTTATTCACCTCTTGCATGCCTGAACCATCAACTAGCTGACATGTCACCATAGAAATTTTCTTACCTCATGAAAATGACAAAAACGATGAAGAATACAATTGTTGTTATTATCGTTAAAGGTCATGTAGCAAATTTTTGGATTTTAAGATTAGGTTGAAATTATGTTTTTTTCGATGGTTTTGATGTGTATTGAACAACTTCCAAATAGGTGCATGAACAAAATGATAATTTTACCATACAATTTGCATAATATCGCTTTTATGATATTTTCTATCATTTTCCATACACCTTAATTGTAATCGTTTGACCAACAGGGACATTTATGGGTCAATTTATAGCAGTTCTTTCTTTCAGTCCTTTTGTACTGTGCACCGTTCTATCTCTCGGTGTAAGAAATACAGGGTGTCCATAAATGATTACCCTGATTAAAGCATGAGAGCATAATGTTTTTGGGGTAATCATTTATGGACACCCTGTATGTTTTTTTCTGAATGTTTAAATAATTCTAAGACATTTTTCTTCTATGATATTTCTATTACTGAAAGAAATATAACCTAACTTAACCTACCCCTTTTTCTGTGTAAAAAATCATAGAAAATCACCAAAAACAAATCAAACCTAATCTAACCTAACCTTATTTTCCAACAAAAATGTCATAGAAGAAAAAGTCTTAGAATAGAAGAGTTGCCGGTCGGAATTTTTTCGTAAGATGGCAGGTCAATGGGTAAAGAAAACGCTTAAATTCACTGTGGTAATGATTTTTAAAACAAAATGGCCCAAAAAGTGTAAAAAATAAGGGTTAAAGTAGCTTAAAAGTCACGTAACTGTGAAAAGCTTTGTGATTGGTTGTGACGTCACAGGTTGGCTCCAGCTGCCGAGCAGGAGCCCGGAGGCAGCTAGCTTTGGTGTATGTGTTGTTACCAGCAGAAATACAGGACTTGTGACAGAGTGCATTTCTTGTGTTTACTCAGAGCCGACAACTCATCCATTGTTTAAACATTTGGAAAAACATATTTCTAACACCGAGAGATAGAACGATGCACTAATATAAAAAGACCTATTTGTGTGATGGTTCCTTTCATAGAAGAGGCCTTTTGGTAAAGGCAGAGCAAATGGTTAGCACCCAAATGCATTTATATATTTTGTTCATATTTTCCACAGTGGTAATAGTGAAGCAAACAGCTAACACCGGGAGTTATTCAATTAAGTTATTTTTTCCACAGTTGTTCTTGGACGATAGTAGTAATACAAATTATACCACTTTTTATTTTAATTATAAATATACTAATTTTTATTTAATTTTTTCTACTCTATCACCAGTATTGGGCACGGTATGAAGGATGAGGGAAATTGAAGGTTAAACACGACGAAATATTGATCCTATGACACAAAAGTGATGTCTATGTGCTTTGTATGTGAAGAAATTAATTAAGAAATTGATTATTTACCGTAAATATTCAGCTGTAAAATCTTCCGTGTTGTCGCGTGTTGCCTACTGCACTTTGTTTGTTTGTTTGTTTCAGAGCAACAACTGAGCCGCTCGGTCCGACCGTACACTCGCATCCTAACAAAAACGTAAAATTACATCTTGCCGCTTCAAGAAAGTTGCTTTCATTGGTACTACACTTCTCGCCATTGCATTATGTGTGGGATCGTGATGGACATAAACAACAAGATGAAATATTAATAAAAAATTAATGAGAAGTTAACAAACTTCCTGTAGTCTATAAGCCTCCCTTTTCTCTTGATACACTCTTGCAGGCATGAAGGAACTGACTCTGCCAAGTTGTGGATTATGTGTAGGTCTAAATTATTCCACTCCTCACAAATGGCTGCCTCCAGCTTGGGGATGGTATTTGTGTTCTTGCCTTGTAGACGAAGCTTGATAATGCTTCACTTATTTTCTATCGGGTTAAGACCAGGCAAATTGCTTGGCCAATCACCTGTGAAGTCTACCTTACAGTCAACAAGCCATTGTATTACAGATTTTGCTGTGTGACATGGGGTACTGTCCTGCATAAAAACATCAGCGCGGCATTTTTCAAAAGACCCGAGCAAATAATCACAGAGCAGCTCCAAGTAGTTAAATTGGTTCATCATCACATTCCTAGGTAGCACAACAAGATCACCAGTTCCAAAGTACGAGAAGCAACCCCACACCATTAGTAACTCAGGATGCTTAACTGTGCTAAAAGTGAACTTGGGGTCAAGCAAATCACTGTGCACATTAAAAGTACGACTTCCAGTGAAAGAGAACGTTGCCTCGTCGCTTCACAGCGCGTGGTGCCACTTGGTCGTATCCCACTGAGTATTAGCCTTGACAAAAGCAACCCTACACTGCCTTTGGACAAGGGTGAGGAGTGGCTTCTTGCATGTGCGTGGCTGCGAAACTGCAGGTCTTCATTGATGCGGCGGTGAACAATCCTTACAGAAATATCACCGAGAAGTACAGGGTTTTTTCTTTCAATTCCTGTGCTGACCGACGTGAATTAGCATCAACTTGCCTCTTAAAAACAGTTACGTGCGTTGGAAAGTTTTTCGAGCCTTCCCTGGCTGTCCGCTGTGCACTGATATTGCCAAGCCATCATCTCGAAATCGTTTAATCCAAATCTGAACTGATCGTTCACTCACACCAACAACTCTTGATATTTCCTTTACAGGTTTCTTGCCCTTAAGCAGACTAAATAATTGACGCTATCTGCTTTTTTGTTGAATCTTTCCTCTTGCCCATTATGGTAAAAAAAAAAAGCAAAGAAACAATGGGCATTGTGGCAATAAATAAGGGCAATTTCGGGGGGGGGGGTAAAAATCATAAATCTTCGTTCACAAAATTTACGCGGGCAACTGGTGAACATTTTGATTGCTGGCTGACTTCTCCTCGAATCTCCCGTCGCTGCCAGACTTACAATAACTGCCTCAGCCCCAGCTGGCTGGCGTGGAGGGGGAGTGAGACACTTCAGCAAAGATCACTTCCCGTCGGCCACCTCGTGCATAATGCAATGGCGAGGAGTGTAGATATCAAAGTTAGGTAGGTTTTTTTGGTTAGATTGGTTAGGTCAGGTTTTATTAGGTTCTGTACATTGTTGTACTGTTTTTATTATTTACTCTCATCCAAAGAACATCTGTGGGAAAATGAACAAAATCGATCTACTCCTTCTGGTGTTAGCTGTCTGCTCCACCTTTATCTCCACAGTTGTTCTTTACATCATATTAACTAGTAAAATCAATGCAACTTTTTATTTTAATTATTATTTTTATTTTTTTCCTTTTTCTCTACCTATGATCATACATCACCAGCAGTGGACAGGGCATGAAGGATGTAGGAAATTGCAGGGCAAAACATGGCAAAAACCTGATACAGTGGGGTATGCTATAACGAATCTAATTGGTTCTAGAACCTTGTTCGTTATAGCATTCGTTCGTTATAGGATTAATCCGTTCCAGGCCCCCAAATACAACCACTTAACACTGAAAAATATAATATAAAATTTTAAAAATTGTAAAAAAGTGCATAAATATGCATCTAAACCCCTGAAATAAAGAATATCATTAATACTTGTAATAAAAAAACAATAACAGTAAAAAAAAAAAAAAAATTTTAAATAATGTTCGTTGTAGGAGTTTCGTTCGTTATAGCATTCTCAATTTTATAGGTAAAACCGTTCGTTATAGGAATATTCATAGTAGGATCCGTTCGTTATAGCATACCCCAATATGATATTAAAATGATGCCTCTACGTGTTTTGTATGTGAAAAAATTAATTAATTACCGTATATATTCCGCCAAAAAATCTTCTATCAGCACGTGTTATCGTCCGCTCTTTGTTTCTTTCAGTACAACAACTGAGCCGCTCAGTGCGGACGTGCTCTCACGTCCATAAAAAAATCATAAATATTACACCGTGCCACTTCAGGATACCCTGTAGTTGCTTCCATTGGTACCAGAAATAAAATTACGTGTCAATTCTTTTTGCTTAATACCCAGAGCCCCTAGGCTAGGAAGTTAGGTAGGTTTCTTTGGTTAGGTTCTGTGCATTCCCATTTCCTTTTTTGTGTTCACTGTTCAATATCATGGCAAATAGTATCCCAGAAATTTTGGTTCAATTCCATAAGTTATTTCTGGTGCTGACTGTCTCCACGTTTACTGCCCTTTTTTTTTTTGCAAGGTGAAAATAGAAGGTTTGCAACTACAGTAGTATTTAGGAAAGGTTAGGTAGGTTAATTTGGTTCATACTGATTATAATCAGTGTGTATGGTAGTACAGTACTTTAAGAGTGTATTAGTTGCCTAGCGTTTGTGGTGGAATTTGTTACCAGTTTGGAAATATTCGTTCATAAAGTTAATCAACCTAACTTCACCTAACCTAAAATAGCAAAAACATATAAAACTCACATTTTCATCGGAAATGTTTATTTTTTAGCTTTTTTACTTTGATATCAAGTTTGGATCTTTAGGTTCTTTTGTTTTTTCTTTTGTCTAGTTGGGTTAGGTTAGGTTTAAACATAGGGTGGTCCAGGGGGCTCTATGGTAAAATGTCTTAAAGTTGGTACTGTAGTTCAGGAGCATAAAATATGTAGTTAAAATATCCAGGAGGTCCTCAGGTTACGTATGTCTGGCTTATGAACATCCACCAATCCAACCGAGGCCCCACAAAGTTAAACTTTAAATTTACAGTACCGGGTATTTTATTTACCTGATGACTTATTTTTTACTTTCATTTACTGAATTTTTTTATTTTCATTTCTTCTTTTCTCTTAAATTAAAATTAAGTGACTTTAGATGTATATAAGGACTTGGACTATGATATAATGGGATTTTAAACATTGTTCTTTAAGTATGGTATGCACATAGCATATGTGGTTCGACTTAAGAACGTCCGTAGGAATGGAACTCGTACATAACCCGGGGACTGCCTGTACATATTGCTTGTTCAACTTCTCTTCGACCTAACAATTTACAGACATTACCTCACTTGTTCAGATGTGGACATTCACTCGGCATCCGATTAGATCTTATTATTTTTCTAACATAATCTAATAGACGGTTACTTTTTATATAGTTAAGTGTGAATGGTGTCATCTCTACCTCGTTATGTTTTGAAGGTTGAGTACTCAGTTGTCCTGTATCCATATTATCCTTTACAACCCATTGGGCCCTGAGTCAACTTTGGACTTGTTTGGTTTTCTCTCTTGTTTAGTATTACAAGTTGAATAGAAGGCAACTTTCTGTCATCATCATTTTAGTGTTACTTTTTTTTGTAAGGCAACTATGTTTCCTTAGGCATAATAGAATTTAGTTTAATTTGTAGTGTTTTAGTAAGTCACTGAGGGAGTTTTGGGCAATACTGTACAGTATTTTGGAGCCCTCCTGGGTTTCATCTTTTCCTTTATTAGTTTTTATTTTTATTTATGGTCCACATGATTCTCACATTATTTTCTTTTGGAAGTGATTTTCGATTGCCTTTCATAGGACATGTTTCCATTGTTTTGGGAGCATTCTTAAAAATCGGGGATCCAGGATAACACCAGACCTGGTCAGTGAACCACCCAACCCAACCCAACCCTGTAATTCAGGCAGCTGGGTCCAGGTCTACTCAACTGGAACTGAGGCAAAATAGTCAGCTGAATCCTTAATCATGTGGATTTTTAGGGGAAAGGGCCACCATTATGACATAGTGATTTGATTAGCTGTTAACCGGCTCTTGCTAGATCTTTAGCCTTTTACTGCTAATTAAAAACCATCAAGGATAAAACCCATTAGGAAAGAGTTCTTTTCTGTAATAATATTTTCCACAAGGTCCATTATGCAACTGATCATTTTAATTCACCCTAATTTAAATGCATATTACTTCCTTAGGTTGTGTCTGTCTCATAAACTGGGTGTTCTCTTAGCCTCCCTTAAATGTAACCCCTCTTACTGTTAATCTCAACCCAATCTCAGTGTTGTAGCCTATGACAATTTTGGATGAAGGGCTATTATATAAACATACAGTACTGTATCTCAGCTGTAGTGTTCATGCACACACTGTAACTGATCAGGACTAGATGACATACGGTATGACATTATTTTTTGACTCACATTTTGTCTCCCGCCATCACCCACATACATATGCAAATACAGCCACTCCTCGACTTACGACGGGGTTACGGACCCAAATCCAGGTCGTAAGTCGAATTGGCCGTAAGTCGAAAATGCGAAGATAATGCTTAGAAAATCTAAAATGGGTGTCTCTTTTTCTACTCAGCACCACAAAACTCTCATTTTTAAGCATGCCAGCCATTTTAAAGGGAACTACAAACGAAAATTTTGTCAGTACACAGCGCAATCACTAACTTCGGGACTCGAAAATACATAGTAATTTGAAAATTTTTTGGTGCGATTGGGGCGGTCGTATGTCTGGGTGGTTGTAAGTCGAGGAGTAGCTGTACTGTACTACACACAGATACACGCACACTGACAAACTGAAACAAACACACACACACACTCACACATGCATGCAAGCATGTGTACACCCATGCACACACACAACTGTAGCTGCTGGAACAGTAAGTGCACTCTCTAACAGACACATAAGCAGACTGACAAAGAACACCTAGATGTATTTGGATTTAAATGTAGTAAAGTGTTGATGAAGGCTTCCTAAGCCCAAGTACTGTATTAGTATTGATATTTCATGTTTATAAAACATTTGTTCTGATATTAATGTACTTGACTTGGCAGGTATGTGGTCACACCGAATGGGTGTTGGGGATTATCAAGACTTAATTGATCGTGGTTGGCGACGTAGTGGTAAATACTGCTACAAACCAACAATGAACAAAACATGCTGCCCGATGTATACTATCAAGTAAGTTACTCTGTACATTTTGACCTGTGCTTCTATATTTATGAATTTTATGGTTCTATTACTTGTAGCTATTTTAAGTTTTAGCTCTAATTAGCTTTTGATGAGCTGCACATAATAGATCTGCCATACACTCAGGGCTGTTCTCAACAGGAAATATGGGACACAGCACCCACATGAAGTGTCCTGAGCCAGACTCTATGTATGCACAAGGGAATGGGAAAAGCATTTTAGTGGCTGGCGCAGGACTCAGAGTGTTTAATGCACAGAGCTTATTGTAAGGCTCCGCATGACATGGTGGTTGTACAGCATGCAACTGAAAGTTCATGTGAAGCAGGCCTAGCCAACAGTTTACAAGAAGTCCTGGTCATAGTCCTGGAATTTCAAGCTTCAAGGAAACTCGGGGTTCAGGGCAATGAAAGGATATGTTTCTTAAAGTCAGTATTAACCTGCTGAATATAAGCCACAGTTCCAGGATATCTGTGATGCAGTAAGAAGAACAAATGATGTAGGACTGCTATTCCTTCCAGTATGATTAGGCCAAACAGAAACACATGAAGAATGGGAAGCACCAATGAAATCAGCAGCCAAAGAGCAAACCAGGCAGCATTGGTAGTAGGTAGTAGGCAACTATCAAACAGGGAGGTACAGTACTACCGCCTGGGAAGATATTGGAAGCATAATGTGTTGTCTAATGGTAGAGCCTGCTGCCATACGGCATCACAAAAATTTTGACCAAGTTCCAGGTTGCTGATCTGATTTTCTGCCTCATTTACACACAATTGCAGGTCTCAGTTGTTTCTCTTACTATTGACAACACAACACACATATATTATTTCTCACTATTTATTTTAATTTTGTTAATTTTTGTGTTTCTTTATAGTTCTTTATATTATTATTATTGTTATTATTATTATTATTATTACCTGTATTATTATTATTATTATTATTATTACAGTGGTCCCTCGGTTAACGAGCGCCTCGGTTAACGAGATTTCGGTTAACGATTTACCTTCCATAAGATTCTTAACTTCGGTTAACGAGCAATCCCTCGATTAACGAGTTTTTTACGAGCCGACTTCAACATGTTTTCGCTTGCATTTGGCGGTCCACCAGCTGTAGTATTAGTCCGCCAATACAGTAATCTGTTTTAGGGCTTAAATTCCTTACTATATTAGTAAATATCAAGAAGTTTATACTATTCAATAATTTTAAAAGTTTAATATTAACTTTTTTAGTCATTTTAACAATTATTGAACATAATTGAAGGTAAAGAAACTAGTTTCTGGCATGCCATCCAGCCTGTTAACACACCAGACAGGCGTTAGTCTCTCTCTGTTTTCAGTGGAGGTAACATCTTGCTTGAGACTCTCTTCAACTAAACGCTTTTTCTCTGTGTTTCCAAGCAAATTATTGGACCTTTTGAAATATATTTTACATATTGACAATATATAATGCAGTGCAGTGTTGATTTAAAGAAAATAATCTTGAAATACACCAAGAGAACTAAAATTTTATGGGTGAAATGGTGCCATGGGGTGACTTCTCTTCCACCCCAATGTCTTCTCTTCTTCCTTCTCCTCCACCCCCATTCTAATTCCCATCATCATCATCATCCAGGAGACTTCTACATACACACCTCAAAGTAAGTGTACTTTTCTACCTTTTTTGTTGAATTTAGGCAATTTTCGGTGAGCTGGAACCAATTACCCAAAAACCCATTGAAACAATGGTTTCGGTTAACGAGTTTTTCGGTTAACGAGCAACCTGCTGGAACGGATTGTGCTCGTTAACCGAGGGACCACTGTATTATTATTATTATTATTATTATTACAGTGTTATTATTATTATTATTATCATTATTTTATTATTTTTATTTACTATGGATTATTGTTATTTTATATCTAATTTTGTATTTTATTATAAATTTTATTTACGATGAATTACGTACCTGTATTATTATTATTATTATTATTATTATTATTATTATTATTATTATTATTATTATTATTATTATTATTATTACAGTTTGCCCCCCCCCCCAAGGCCCCAATGTGGGTCAGTGACCTGTGCCTAGGTGGGCTAATCTCCGTAAAAAAAAAGTAGATGAAGTTCTAGCCAACAGAATGCTAATAAAGGCTACTTTCAGAGGGTAGTAATCAGCCTTATCCACTGAAGCTTTATCAGTATGATATTTAGCAAGTAAAGGAAGGCCTCTGTAAACAGCATGTACAGGGTATGTGAGGGGAGAAATTCAAGTGTTCTTAAATACATGATCACAGAACAGAAAGCCAGAGGAGTATTTATGTGAGGAATTTTTAAAAGATTTCTTTTGTGATGTAGGGTGCACTCTTATTTTAGTGCTGTTTCTGATCATATACAGTAGCAGTTGGTCTATACAGATGGTTTTATACGGTTCTGAATTTTCTTGTAAGATGAGTAAGGGTGGATTAAATTTTACATGAATCCCTGTGACTTTCAGATATGGATTTTTTTTTTATTGTCTTTTGTACAGAGTTGGCAGAGTTGTAAAGTAACTAAGTAAATTTACTTGAGTACTCAAGTAAAAATTTTGGGATTTACTTTTTAAAAAGTAATCAAATTTTTCAGTACTTTTACTTAAGTATGGTTTTATTATACTTTTATGGTCCATACTTCACTTTAACGACTAATTGGTACCACGAAGATGGTCGTTAAAGTGAAAATCATTAATGTGGTGAATATAGTTTGCATGCTAAATGGGTCAATTTAGTACCAGCCCTCAGACACTTTCACCCTGTATAACCCTAATAAACCCCACAAAAAATTACAACCACTTATTCACACACATTAATACTGCATGTATACTAAATGACTAATAATAACTAACCTTTAGACTCTCATTGAACTGCTTAATGAGACGGTTTGCTGTCATACGAGACAGGGGAGTGGTGTTAGTGCCCCCCTGCTCCTGCCCCCCCACACTCTCATATTGCACTGCTTCCCCATCACCACCACCAACTGATCCTTCAGTCTCAAAGTCAGTGAAGTCTGGTAAATCATTAAACAGATCACACACAGGTAAATCTTGAACATTATCAACTTACGCTACTGTGTTAAAATGTATTGTTAGTGTGTTGAGGTGTCGCATTTCATTGCTGTCGTTATTATGATGAATCGTTTATGTGAAACGCATTAAAGTGAAGTATGTTCTGTCCTCCAATACAATGGAAAAATCAAAAAGCGTTACTCGTTCCATCCCAAACAATAGAGTTTTAAATATCCATTCACAGGACAATCTTGGAAGCTAACCAATCATATGTGTTCTTTCATATTGTTTCATCTATGTGCCCAAGCAATGAACACAGAGTTTAAGCTCCCAAGCCTCCCTTTCCACCATTTCCTTGTTTGGTGCTACAGAGGCAACAATCATCCACAAACTCCTCAACTGGAGGAGCTTGATAGCTACTTGGTTGCCCATGGGATGGAATGGAGCTACTGAGGTTTTTCCTGGCATTATGTGACTTATCTCTCAAGCTTAACATCCCACTACCTGCATCTGCTGTTTGTGAGCATCTGTTGAGTCATGCTGGGCTTATATTTAAGGCTAAAAGATCCTGATTGGACAGCCTTAATTTTGAGAAACAGTTATTGATTACTCTCAATAGAAAGATTTGTAAGTAAACGTGTGTAATGTTATGGGTTTTATTTTTATCTTTAGTTAACTAATTTTTATAATTTACTGTGGATTTATTTTAATATTTGAGATGATTAATAATTTTCTTGTTATGTTTTACATTCATTACTTGAGTACTTAATGAATGAGATACTTTTTTACTTCTACAAGTACTTGAGTACATTGAACTGTGGATATATTTACTTCGACTTGGGTAACATTTTGCCAATGCAACAATACATTTGCTTAAGTAACAAAGTCCAATACTTTTTACAACTCTATTGATTGACTGCAAATTATAGCCCAAAGACAGTGAAAAGTTCTATACAGTATATAAACTGCTATTGGAGTTACAGATACTGTAATGCAGTTTGTGTTTTTGATTGTTTTACTGTACTGTATTGTGTTTAGTGATTTAACATATACTGTATCTGGTATCAGACTTATTTTTTACTAGCTGATTATTTCCCCAGATGTGATGCCCTAGAATTGAAATTAAGCAAGTCACAGAAAAAAATACTCAAGCGCATGCACCGATACCTGAGTTATGGGGATATGAAGGAAGACCAAACCATAGGAAGTGGTGAGTAACCAGGGTAATACTTCTGGTTGAAAATGGTTTTTATCTCTATATAACCACTTTACTCAGTTCATAGATGGTGAAGCTGTAATGTTGAATTGGTCCATACCAAAATTACCTTAATTTCTTCACTGTAGATTTCAAGTTTAGATCTAATTGATTGTTCTTTTAATATAGAATATTTGTTTCTCATCAATTCTGTGCCCAAATTGCAAGTTCAAAACTGTACCTTTATTATACACAGAAAAAATTACTAGATACCTGTTTAGGCCAATATTTTAAAGGCAAACTAAATCAAGGTTTGCAAAAATTATTGTACACATGTCCTTTGATATACAGTCTTCCCTTGCACATTATTCCAATTGTACAGTTTGTCTTTCAACACCAAAAATTCATAGTTGATATTGTCTATATTTCAGTTATGAATGTCTGCAACTTTTGAACCTAAACTATGACATATCTCTTCTACTGGATTCAACCCTGACTTTAAAAAGGTCTAGTGTGGGTTGTATCTCTCGTGAATGACCTGTCAGCTACACATAGCCACCTAATCAAATTGTGACTTAAATAGATATCTGCCTGGGGGGGATAGATGGAAACCAATATTCAAGCCCTATACAGGAAGAGAGGAATACAGCATTTAAGTATTTACGTGTATTAGAAAATGAAAAGCTCAGCTTTGGTATCATGCTAGTGGAAGGTTGTGTATTTTTTTATTAAAAGTTGATTGAAGAGCAAATGAATTTCTGGAAAAGCGTAATACAGTACAGGTATTATTGTATGTCTGGTGAAATATTTTTGAAGGTGAAAGCAGGAAAGTCATGGAAGGTGAATAGCGTTCTGAAAATTTGTGAAGAGGAGGAAGAAGTATAACATTGCTGTAGTCAAGGATGGCTGATACTGAACCTTTTCTAGTTTCCGTGGTTATTACGATATCTTTGTCCAGACTCTCATCTTGTGACTTGTATTTCCTGTCTGTAACTTTTGATTATTTCCTGTGGTCTTCCTATTTCTCATCTGTTGTGAATGTTAAGATGGCCTCTAGGTTATTTCACAAAGAGAGTGTATGGTAGTAAATTAATTAATATGCGCCTTATACTAATTTCAGACAGCTCAACGAGCACAATGGGAAATTCAGAGTTTGTAACTCCAAAATTTGAAAGCAAGCGAGATCTATCCTCTGTCACACTTTCAACAAATGATATAAACACAACAAGGAGTGAGTATTATGTCAGACTTTTTTTAAACTAGTCCCAATATAATATTTGCATTAGTTTTACTTGCAATTTTACCTTCTAAATTTGAAGTCATTTTGCTAAATTTCCAATGCAATTCGTCCATTTAAATAATTATGAACATTATTTTTCAACAGATATAGGTTCTTTTGCTATAGAAACAAATGATGGCAATATGAATAGTAATAAGACACCTGTAAATACTGAGACACAGAAGAGCATTTGTGTACCTGAAGAAGAAACTGCAGGAGGTGCTAGTCAAGACCTCAAAGCAGGAAGTACCGGTACCCGCAGCAAACCTCTGAAAGCAGGTGCAGGTGAGTTGTTATATTCTCTTTGCTTTTCCATATACAGTAAACTTCTTCTAACCCATCAAAGTCAGGATAGATAGTGCACCAGGGTATTTAGAACACCATCTGGATAGTCTACCCTAATACCCATAACAATAATATTGAGCCAACCACTTAGTTGTCATATCACGATGATAGTACATTATAAAAACTACGCAGCTTACAAAACTTAATTATTGTAATACAATATCAGGATTAACACTACATGTGTTACAGTTCAAACCTCCCTGGTCCTTAATTCCATGGTCTGGCATGAATTTTTCGTGTCATGTATCGTTTTGTATTTTTATGCTTCTGGTACATGTTTCCTAGTGCCAATGCCTTAAAATTGTGTTAACAATGACAACTCCACCAATACATATGTTACAATAGCTTATTTATCGTTTATACTCAAGTACAGTAAAGCCTCGAGTTACGATGGAAATGTGTCCTCCAATATTGTGGTGTAAGGTGAATCGTCGTATCGTGAATCATTAATTACCAGTAAAATAAAACAATTATAATGAGATGTGTTCCCAAGTATGACCTTTTCATATATTTTGTGTGTGTTTTTTTACCCCCTTTTCCACCAAAACAGTGAAATTAATGAAAAATAACAATTAAATTTTTAGATAATATTTATTAATGCATTTTATACAATATAAATCACTTATAATACAGTGGATCCTGCATTGACGAGCAGGGGTAGAAATTCACATACGCCCGGTCGCCCGAGGTGACCAAAATATCATAAGGGCAACAAGATTTTACTATTTTGCTGGTCTGGGATCCCCCGGTGGGCGAGTGGGCCGATGACAGTGGTAAGACACACTCAACTTGTATAATTTTTGATTCAGTAATATATTGACCACCCGTGGTTCGGAAAATTCTATGTTCTAGCTCTGGTTAGGTCCTGAGGGTGCCGGATTGGAGAGGTTCAACCTTTACTGTAATAAAATCATGTGCTGGGAAACTAGTTAAATGTATGTATGTGTAATAATAATAATAATAATTAACGGTTTATCGAAAAAGTTCTGCAGCCCGAAGGCTGAAAATATGCATTGGACATAAATGACTTATTACATACATTGGTGGTTTAACAAAAGCTTTCATTAGAGAAAGGTAAAGGAACATACAGTGAACATACAGATTAATGTTTACAGAGGAGGTCACATAGATCTTGTACGCTGAAGTGTTGAACAGCAGACATGTAGTGTAGTAACTCCCTCACAGATGGTGTTATGAGGGGCATCATGTGGTATGTGCGTGTGTTTAAAACAGTAAATCCCTCACAGTTTGAACTTAAACATTATATAATTCAACTTTCAGACACTTTAGGGTTATTGGACATAGTACAGTTCAGGAATACCTCACTATTCGCAACCCCACTTATCTGCAATTGACACTTTAACACCCCTTATTTGATATTTGCAAATCATATCCCGCTTATTAGCAAATGAAAAATTACAATAACCTTTGGTAATATTTGAAACTGCACAGGCTAGCTGCAGCTCTCATATTCCGCTGTAAGGCTCACTTCACATGAGCGTGTTTTTTCCCACACATGAGGACCCACTCTGTTTAGATATTAATGATAATCGGTGGGACCATTTACACATAGCATGCGCAATGGGGTACAGTACTTCAGACAAGCTAGTTTAAATGTTTACACTCGTTTACAAATGTCATACACACACACACACTCTCACTCACTCACTCACTAACTCACACATGCCCACATGCTCACTCACTAACTCACACATGCCCACACGCTCACTCGTTCACAGTGTTTATTTTATATTGTTTTTGTAGTTCTTTTATTGCATTATATGGAGTGTTCTTGTACATGTATATAAAAAAATGTATTGTTATAAAATAAGATATATGGGTGTGTATGTGTGGACTTGGCATGTCACCAAGTTAGACTGTCCCTGTAGTTACATCTCCCTACTTTTCCCTTTACCAGTCAAGGCTGTGTTATTGTTATTTTTGAACTCGTAATTTCGGGTGGATATACATCATTTTCTAAAAAAAAAAATTGTTTACATGCACACAGTTGTTCATAAAGATTTTTTTTTTTTTTTTGCACCCCTCTACATCCTGTGTAAGGTGAAGTGCAGAAGCATTTACAGCATCCAACAGGGAAGCATGCTAAGTTCATGCTTGCCTTTATGTCTCATGAGTTAAGGGCGTAAAAGCCTGAAGGGTCAAGGGCGTAGAAGCCTGAAGAGTCAATGGTTTTTGTCATCAAGTTATTGGAAGCTCCAACAACTTTCCCTGAATACGAATTCGCAACTTTCGATTTACAACAGGTACCTACATTACTGCTAGGTGAACAGGGACTAATGGGGGCTAGGAAGTATGTCCAAACAACTTTTCCACTGGCCCGGGAATCGAACCCGTGATATCTCGCTTGCAAGGCAAGAGCGGTACCGTTCTACCATCGGCGTCCCTTCATACAGAATGTGTAAAAAAAAATGAAATGAAATGATTGTCATAAGGACAAAAACATAAAGAGACTAAACATTTCTTACGTCTGCAGGAGTTAGTGTGCGGATTGTGGGAGGGGAAGGGGGTGCAGCATCGGGATCTCAGCCACCCCCTACCAGGCCTAGCTGTGAGTGGCATTATTGTTATTTTTCAGCTTGTAATTTTGGGTAGATGTATTTTTTATTTATTTATTTTTTTTTTTATAACTGTTACATGAACACACTCGTTTAAACAGAATGTGCAAAAAAAAATAAGAATAAAGGAAATGATTATCATAAGATAGAAAATATAAAGGGAATAAACATTTCTTATGTGTACGGAACTTAGCGTGCGGATCGTGAGAGGAGGAGGGAACAGTGTTGGGGATCTCAGCTGTTTGACTCTCCCAGCCCCACATGTCCATTGTAGTATAATTTTTTATTTATTCCTCACATTTACCAGTACTACAATATACACACAACCCTGGTCCCGAATATGTGGTGAAAGTTGCCGGCTGGGAACGCATCCCCCCCCCCATTTACTTTAATTCTTATGGGTAAATTTGCCCTAATATTCACAAATTCGTTATCCACAATGAATTTTAGGAACTCATCCTTTGCGATAACTGGGGTATTCCTGTATATCTATAATTTTAGAAAAAGTTTTATCAGATATCCACAATAAAGTATCTGTGGCCTATATGGTGATCTCACACATGAGCAATGTGTGATATGGGTTGCTGCCCTAGACTTCACACAGATATAATGTGCAAGATTCTCATAGGAACAGAACCAAGATTGTTTCATACATATATTATGTGTTTCTGTCTCTAATACAACACTTATGCATCTCATTCTTTTTTTATGTTACAGAGAGAGGGGAGAGGCACTGACTTACTAAATACACTCATTTCATGTTAGAATTTGTTTCTTGAACAAGAAATTCTTGTTCAAATAAACACTAGGTATACAGTAGTTAAATGTCAGTGAAATTAATTAATTTGATTTTTGCATTTTAGGTCCAAATCCCAACAAGCCGCCTTGTCGAAAAGCCAAAGATATCCGTAGGGAACGTAGGGAAGCTAAACGTGCCAAATTTGCCCATGAAGCAGTGGCCAGAGGTGAGTCTCCCATGCAGACAAAAGAGACAAAGTCATCTACCAACCAAAAAACTCTGGAAGATTATATAAATGAACCTCTCCCTGAAAATCCTGCTCATACTCTTGAGGTATGTTGATGCTGCAGTTTAAGTCAATTGTTTCCATGTATCTGTGTTTTGTTGCAAAAAATGTGTTAGACATAGTGGATTAGCTGTGATGAAACCTAGACTAGTGTAATTCTTGTGAAATTTAAATGTTTTACTTAATTCTGAAGGTACGGTACTTATGCAAGTTTTGCAGTTTTCCTCACTAAATCCACATAATGGAGATAGTGAAGTAGGAGTGGTACATGTCCTAAATACATTGTCAAGTGTTTGTGGTGGGATACTTTTTTATAATTCTTATTCTATGATACATGTGGTAGTGATTTGTGTTGTTAACCCTTTCATTAATACCTCCCCAATCTCCAGTGTGTCCTAAAGTCAACTTACCCCACACTTTACAGTTGCCCCTTCCTGAAAGCCTACCAAGGGAAATTTTAACCTGTGTAAGTAGGCCTAAGCATCTGAATTCTAAAACATAATCAATCCCAGAATTTTCAGTTAAATGATCCTCGACCTGTGATAAAGTCAGTTGAGGATGATTATTTAATTTTTGGGAACAACAGGTAAACTGTTGCCTATTTTAGATCAGGGCAAGAAACCCTTCTCCCACCCAGTAGGAAAGGTTTTTATTCATGAATAAGCATGATTCTAGTGCTGCATTGAATTTGTCACCATGAAGATTGTGTTCCCTCTGGTGTTTAAAGCAGCTTGTTGAATTTCAGCCCCTGAGGAGGAAGGATTATTTCATTTCTTTTGTCCCATACCTTTCATAGGTCAGTCTTAAACCAAGTTGGAAGTTCTCACCAAAGAAGCAGACTCCTGCCATTAGGTCTGAATGCATTCAGCAGCTAGAGGATTACCTTAACTTTCTAACAGTGCTAGTTCATTGAAGGATAGTCAAACAAAATCAGATTCTCATGTTCATATACTTAGTTATTAAATAGGTAAGTTTACAAAGGCTAGTTGGGAATTGAATCCTTGAGTATCTGCTTGTGAGGCAAATGCTTTACCAACTGATCTACTGGCATGTGACTGGATCATAATTTGGCATGGTGTTTTTATTTCTGGATTTTTACTATACCAAATTCCTTTAAGTTTTTTGTCTTTTATGGACATGGGATCTGACCATCTTCTTTTTTAAAATCTTGTGTAATTGTAATACTCAAAAAAGTGTGGTGCTTTTCTTTTATGAATGATTCATATACAGGCAGTTCCTGAATTACGACCTTTCAACTTAGGATCATCGCAAATTTTTTAAATTTAAATCACATTTTTCGGATTGGAGTCTGCCCCAATTAGTCTGATTTATCAAAGTTCTACTGTACTTCCTTTTCCATTCTCGTGTTGTTTAATTAAGTTATATCTTACAGTAAAAGCAGCTGGCAACTACTGTATTGTGTGCCAATGTTGTGTGCTTGATAAACCACTTATTATAGTTCTACAAATATTTAAACTTTTTTGCTTATGTTGGAGATGCTGGTGTGGACAGTACATTTTGGAGGCTGTGGTGGACAGTATCCCAAGTGTTTGAAAATGATACACATACCACTCTGAGTTGAATGCAGGAAATGATGTGTATTACGGTATACATATAAATAAATAAATTAATAATATGTTACACTTCATTAACACCCAGGTTAAATTAGTTCGTTCACAACCAAGCAGTGCTGAGTTTCTGCGAACTTTCAAGACGGCTCACCAAGTGTATGAAAGGTACCAGGTTAACATCCATGGAGACACTCCAGACAGGTGTTCTGAGTCACAGTATAAGAGGTTCCTGTGTAATTCACCACTTGAGGTATTACACCCATATGTGCATGGAGTCAAGGAGGTTAAGGAGAAGAAAAAAGCCAAGAAGACTTTAACTCATTTAGATTTATCTTTTCATGTACAGGTATAATATTTTCAAATTTGTCTTCATAATATAAAGATGTCTAACTGTTTAGTTTCAGTGTTTTATCTCAGTATCAGTTTTCTCCCTGGTTCTTTATCTTCTCCAGTCCTCGTTTACTCCTGTAATTATCTACTAACATTTTTCTTTTCCATTTGTGGCAACTTGTTGGGGCCTGTCGACCAGGAAGCTGCATTTACTCGTAATTTCAGTTGTCGTCATTCACCGTACCATTATTTTCTCTATTAAACAGGCTAACCTTAAGTTTGTAAGTTAGTCTATGGATAAAAGGTAATGATGGTAGCCTATGCAAAATGTATGATCAGTAAAAAGTAATTATTGTAAAGAATTCATGAATAAGAAATCATTGGCTTTATTTGGTTACTGATAATTGAAAAAGTACAGTATTATATAAGTTGGAAGAGAGAAAATATGTAAATAAGATTAATTTGATGGTTGATATTCATCTCTCTCATCAGTTAAAGCTTAGGGAGCTTCTTGTAGAAACTACTACTACACACACATTTCTTCATTTTCTCCTGCACATCATAACGTGATCCAATTTCCAAAATATACCTTTTAAGTTATCCTTTTATGATGCTGTCATAAATGTAAACTAAATACACTACTATAAATAACATAACTGAAGTAACATTTTTATATTGTACCAAAATTGGAAACAGCACATAACCCAGGTGATTAGTTGCTGTGCTCCAAGTGTAACAAAAAATGACTGTGCCACAAAATGTCTTATGTCTCTGTTCATGGCTATTGCTTAACATTTTGGCTTATCGTTACTGTGAATTTGATGAAAGCTTGACAGTTGCAGATAATAGGTTGGTGGGTAGTTAAAGAGTTCACTGTAGTTTAGTATCACTATTTTTATTTCATTGGGGTCAAGGAATATTTGCTTCATACATGAGAAACACTCACACCAGCCTATAAGGACATATACAATGCTGTACTTAAACTAATATACAGGCAGTCCCCGGGTTACGTACAAGTTCCTTTCCTACGGTCGTTCTTAAGTCAAATATACTAAGTTGAACCACATACCCTATTTGCATACCGTACTTACAGAACAATGTTTAAAATTTCGGTAGTAAAAATTAAGTCGTCAAATAAGGGTAGCGGGTAGTAGGCAGCTATCAAAGAGGGAGATACTACCACCTGGGAAGATATTGGAGGCTTTTGTGTTGTCTAATGTGTGCGGGTGGGCTAATCCCCATTAATAAAAAGTAAATTTAAAGTTTAACTTTATGGGACCTCGTTTGTATCGGCAAATGTTCATAAGTTTGGTGTACATAATCCAGGGACCTCTTGTATTATATTTTTCTTGATCCATAATTTCCTTCACTCATGCAAATTGGAAATTATTGTTTACAATGCTCTGCTCTAGACAGTGGTGCTCAACCTTTTGGCCTGAGTGGGCCACATTAGATGGGCAACTGTGTGAAGGCTGCACATTGACCTTAATGTAAATAAGTGTAGTAAATAATATACACAATAATAACATTGATTATTAGTATTAACCATGTCTTGTAAACTTAAAGAAGGAATCATAATCAGAACACTTTTTGCAGAAATCACTGGTTTTATTAACAAAATCATAATTTTGCTTCAGTAATGCCCTGGTTAGCACTTCCCCCATGGAGCACCGTTTGTTATAGCACTCTTGCTTGCATCTTTAAGCTCTTAAATGAAAAAGAAGAAAGAAAAAACAATAAAAGCAGTCAAAAGTCATGAGTCCGAACACTCAACACACAAAGAGCAGATCTTTGTTTTTACTCACTTGGCTAACAAGCACCAACCACTCTGTTTACAGTGTAACTACAGTACAAAATTCATTGTGTTTACTGTACACTGTGCACACAGTCTTGTTGACTTTATTTTTTCTTTTTCTTTTTTACTCATGTCTAGAAATTGGCCTGCAAGTTTTAATGCTATAATATGTCTAACGTGCCATGGAAAAGTATCTCCTTGGATGTAAAATTACAAGTATTGAGGCGTTTGGAAGCTGGCGAGCATCAGGTGGATGTCGGTGCTACTTTTAACCTGGCTGTTAGAACCATTATTAAGAATGCAAACAAAATAAAAGCTTCAGCCATGACAACCATGAAGTTGTTATACAGCATACCCTTAAAATTCATGAGGGTTAGGTTCTCAAAATGGCCACGAATAGCCAAATCCGCAGATAACATTTGCTGACCGGCGTGGTGGGGGGGGGGTTACATTTTTATTCGTGTGCAAAGAAATGTATATTCCCTTTACGGTATGTGTTCGCCCTTAGGACAATTATTTCTTTTACCTGTATTGTATAAATTTGTGTGTGTGTAGACACACAAAAAAAAACCCACAAAGCACATACAAATAAATAATAATGGGAAAATCATCTAACAAATAATCAGAAACAAGACAACAAAATGCTTTGAGAAGATTTTCCCAATATTATTTGTTTGTATGTGTTTTTTGTGTGTGTATCAATGCACACACACACACACATATACTGTTTAGTACAATACAGGTAAAAGAAATTACTGTCTCTAGAACGAATGGCTCCCTGTCCCGGCTGCAAAAATGCCATCAACTTTAAAACTACCCTCAGACATTCTTGGTACATCCAGGGTGACATCCGCGAATATTCGCGGTCCGTAAATTAAATATCCGCGAATTATTAGGGCATGCTGTATTAAGTGTGGGTCTTATTGTATAACATAAAATTGTGTGTGGTTAACTGAAACACAATGTGTGGTGGCGGGTTGGAGATCAGCTGCTGAGGAATGCTTGACAACACCCGGTGCGAGTTACCACTCCCTTCCACCCCACCTCTCTTAATCACCACCACCTTTTTGCTTTCTCACTCCATAATTTAAAATGCTATGTAACATAACGTTTAAAGCATACACTGTTGCTCATTTATACTTGCATTCAATTTTGTGTCAATTTTGTGGGTAGGTATCAGCTGTTCAATAGCTTCTGGCAGTGCTGCAGGTGCAGTGTTACCAAAAACGCCAATAGACACATCACCTCCTCACCACTTAGCACAGTCTCTCTCATCACCACCACCTCCATCATTACCACCCCCACCATCATTACCACCCCACCCTCCATCATTACCACCTCCATCATCACCACCCCCATCATCACCACCACTACCTCTAATATCACCACCTGAATCATAATTTCATTGGTGCAGAGATGGATTAGCATCAACCAGAGCAAAGTCATATGATATCCCTCCCTCCCCCCCACCTATACACTGCATCTCACACTCATTCATCAAACAACTGTCATTCATGATACAATATTGTTTATTATTTATTCATTAATTAGTTATTACTGTATATGTTACCGTAATAATCTGTGTTTATTAATATCTGTACCCTTCATATACAATACTGTACTGTATATATCTCATAGGTAAAAAATAACGTCATCAGGAATGCATATCCATATACTGTATGCAATGGTATAATGATTCCTTAGAATGCTGTTTTGAGTAGCGCTCTATTGTCCAGGAACGTATCCTGAGTACTAAACGGAGTATTAGTGTACGGTAGAACGTTGATTTAAAGCGATTCAATTTAAGATTGTTGATTTAAAGCAACACCCACAATTAAGGACAATGTTTTAATTTAAAGCGAATCTTTCTTATTTTGCACGAGTCAAGCTGGTGCATCATATTTAAAATTCGCGCCTAATGATTCTCTGGGCATGCTACACTGTCCTAAGGGCAAAGCTGTACTGTATTGTACATGTACTCAAAATAATGTAATAAATGATTAATAAAATTTTTGTCTAGTGTAAACTATAACATGATTATATTCAAATTAATCACTATCTTATAAGAATTCCAGCACTGTAAATTATATTCTCCCTCGTCACTTGTGACATTTTATAAACAAAAAACAAAAACTAAATCTTAAGGACATAAATAAACAAATAAATACTTCAATAAACCTTCGGCCCCAGCTGTCAAACGTGTCACTGTCACTTCACTTCACCCCCCCCCCCATCTTTCCAGCCAGGGTTGGGTTGCTATAGGCTTACAGTTTTTATCTCATATAATATCAGTCTAAAGTCAGGAGAATATAATTTGCATTGCTAGAATCCTTGCAAGACAGCGAATAATTTGAATATAAACGTCATATATTATGCACAAGAGAAAATATTTTTGGCCCTTTAATAAAATTAATTAGAACTAAAATTTGTATCTCTAATGCTAACTATAGCATGTTTATATTCAAACTAATCACTATCTTATAAGAATTCCAGCAATGTTAATTATATTCTCCCAGGTCAGTTTGGTGACATTTTATAAGAGAAAAACTTAATCACTCTTAAGGACAGATAAATAAATAAGCACTAGACCTTGGCATCAATTGTCAAACATATCACCTCACACTCCCTCCCTCCTCCCCACCCCTCCATCTTCCCAGCCAGTAAACAGACCATTTCGCATCCCTTAATTTTAGCCGTGTTGATTTATGAGTGTTTCTTTTAACATAATAGTACTACAAAATACAATGTTTTGTTTATTCTAGGAGATGGGCTGAGGTGCATCTGGGTAGACTCGGTCTTTTTAGTATTTTGTGTTTCTCTCATGTACCAAACTAAATTATTCCATTGAAACAACACTTAGATTTAGTGGAATTCGGTTTAAAGCGACCTCTCTTAGAACGAGTATCTCGCATTATATCGACGTTCTACTGTATAGTGAAAATATCGAGTAGATTCCTAAGAGTCTTTCACTCGCCTAATCAAACATGCCAGATGTGCGATACTTATCAGTATCATAATAATATTTGTTATATCTAATTTCTATAAAATATGCAGTAATATTAATTATATTTCAACTATTTGCCGAGGGCTGCATTAAATCTCCCTTAGGGCTGCATCAGACAGTAGGTTGATCACCCCTGCTGTAGAGGATATAGTAAAGCTCAACATCTTGACTCAATTTACTGCACTTGAATTATATAAACAATTAACTACATGTGCTTTATCTCCCTATAATTTCTCCATTTCCTACACTCTTTTTCTTCAGTTTGGGACATTCACATACAAGTGCATTGCCACTACATTACAGGTTACAGTATTATTATGTTAGAAAACATTAGTTTGGTTTACATACACACAACAAAAATTTAGTGATAACTCAATGTACAGTTATCATTTTCCAGTAAAATAATGAATCATAAAGGAGTTAAACCAGAGTCTACCACTTGAAAGACTCTCACAATATTATATAATTGAAAACACTAATATACCAGAGCTGTTTGTTAAAAACCATTTATTTTTTTAGTAAACAGTACTCTGGGTATACAGTATAGCAAAGTACTGTATTGTACATATCTTCCATAATACTGTACTTGTGATTAGAGTCTCATGCTATTTGATTTTTAATATTAATTACATAGTACATTAACAATGATTATCAGCAACCAAAGGAAATTGCCATGATCATAATGACCTCCACATAACTAAGTCAAGTTACATTGACCCAAAACAGTTGAAGCTAGTGAGGGTAAAGCTCCCTGAAGCAGCATTCAGAGCCAGCTATAATGCCTCCTATGCTGTCTTTCGCAAGTACCAGCTGCAGATCCACCATGATTCCGAGAACGAGTGTGACAAGATGTCCTACCAAGGCTTCCTGGTTGATGGGTCCCCTTCGGTATGGTCCAGCTTCTTTTGTCATAGGAACATGTATCTGTACTCTATAGCTATACATGTATATTATTATAGGACTTGAACCTACTTCATGGATATTGCCTTGCTAAGGCCTTAACTAGTCATCTACTATAGTCTTTTTTTTTTTTTAGTTGATGACACATTTACATGAATATCTGGTGTTTACACTTGATTCAACTTTTTATAAAATTTTCATTATTATCCATTGCTCTATATGTTTGGTGTCATTTGTCTTCATATACATTATAAATAGTGAAAAGAGAAGAAATAGTGATGAATATATTCTCTTAAAGCGTGAATTTGTTTGTGCCTTCAATGGTACATAGAGAATTCTTTATTTCAATTGTGTTTTTTCACTCATATCTTAAAAGTTAATGTTTTCAAGCAGTTATATCTTTATGGACATTAAATTCATCATTAAAGTGAGCCAGAATTGAGTATGCTTAACAGTTATATATGGATCTATTAGTGATGTATCAATATTAATCGAATATTATATATGAGCTAATGATCTGCAAGGAACTGCACGCTCTTAGCTTATTACCGCCAGCTAAAAAAAGAATATGACTATACTGTAGCTACTGATGGCTACTTGATGTAACCTCAGCACGGTAATGTCCATGGCTTAAGGTTGATTCCTAATCAGGGACAGCCGAAATATTAATATGAGCTAAAACATGTGAATTTTATATTGTATGTACTGTACATATACAGTAGCTAAAACAACTATCTGTGCATACTTTGTGGGAAAGAATATGAGACCTTGGACGATAGATTTTGGTATATGAGGGCTGTCACCAGTCACACGTAAAATTTCGGAGCATATCGACCCCCACCAGCACAGATAGTTGTTTTAGCTACTGTACATACACAACTACCTGTACACAGTTTTTTAGGGTAACTAGAATGAAGGGAATTTGAATACATTTATGAGGAGCTGTGGAAGTGAAATAAGTGTCTGACAATGGGTAGATCAGAATCTGCTTACTAGGTAGTATAACATATTGAAAGTTACAGGTATCCTTCACTATTTGAACATTCACTCTACGAATATTTGCTGATACTGTACAGTACAAATACTCTATTATTTCACCTATTTCTCACTTATATAAATATTTTCCCTGGAGGTAATGTACCAAATTTATATTATATAAGTTTTTAATGTGATAGTAACTGAATTACAGTATAGTTATGTAGGGTTTTTGTTGTGTGTGAACCTATTTAATTTTTTTAAGGAATAATATTGGGGTTTTCTTGTAGTTAGGTAGGTTTTATGTTGTGTGTGGACCTGTTTAATTTTTTAAAGTATGCTATTGGGGTTTTCTTGTCACTGAGGAACCAAACCCTATTTTTCCCATGTGTTATGGTATTTGATATACAAATAGGGTATTCACTTAACAAATGGTTTTCAAAGAACCATTACCCATTCATAGTCAGGGATATCTGTACAGGAAATGAAAGTTTGATCAAATTTGTGTAAATTTCAGAGACGAAAGTCAGGAGGGAGTGAATGATGTACTGGAGGGGATACAGACATGCAAGAAGCTTCTGTGTGACATACATGAGTGGAAAGCATGCATTGCATTGAGTGATTTTTAAGGAGGGTATGTGCTGCTGATTACAGAAGCTGGCATGTAGGAAGTGACTGGTGATATAAACCAGATAAAGAGTTTTGTTATGGAAGGGGAATTTCTCAGCATCAGATAAATAACAGTGAGGAAGAGTGAAAATAAATATGTGTGTGTATACATTTGCTTTGTTTTTGACCACCCTGCATTAAATGGGAATAAGCTTGAAAGAGTAACACACACACATAAAGTACCTGTCACACACATAAGATCGTGGGTTCGAGTCCTGGGGGGGTGAGGTTGTTGATATATATATATATATATATATATATATAAGTACACTGTACAATATACCAAATGTTTTTGTATAGACACAGAAATTAGGAAAATTTAATTCTTAGTTGAATAAATGTAAAGCTTACAAATGATGTGGACTGAGTTTATATACATACTGTACTGTATATTTAAAAGTAAATGAGTGCAATTAAATTCATTAGCTTGGAATACAGGTAATTCTGCTATAACGCGATAATTGTGTTCTTGTAAAATATCGTGTTATAGAAAATCGCGTAATAGAAATAACAGGGCTTATGGAGAAAATAGGGTTAGGTGCAGATTACTCGAAATCGAAAAAATTTAGTAGTTAGCCTAACACAAAGGATAGCACAGTCTAAATAAATGTTACATTCATATCTAATAATGAAATCATACAGTAAATGTAACACTTTACTTGATGGGGGAGAAGGGTGATTTTGAGGTTGATAAAATCGAGCTTCTCTTCAATTGTTATATCCTTTCTTTTACGATCATCACCGGGAATTCTATCACCAGAACGCTTCTTGTTGATATTCTTCTTTACTATATTCACAGTTAATACAGTGGGGTATGCTATAACGAACGGATCCTACTACGAATATTCCTATAACGAACGGTTTTACCTATAAAATTGAGAATGCTATAACGAACGAAACTCCTACAATGAACATTATTTAAATTTTTTTTTTTTTTTTTTTCTAATTTATTGTTTTTTATTACAAATATTAATGATATTCTTTATTTCAGGGGTTTAGATGCATATTTATGCACTTTTTTACAATTTTTACAATTTTATATTATATTTTTCAGTTTTAAGTGGTTGTATTTGGGGGTCTGGAACGGATTAATCCTATAACGAACGAATGCTATAACAAACAAGGTTCTAGAACCAATTAGATTCGTTATAGCATACCCCACTGTACCACAAAATTGGAGAAATAGTAAGCAAAAATCGCGTTATAGCAAACAAGCGTTCGCGTTATACAAATATCGTTCCTAATTCATAAATCGCGTTAGAGCAAATTTGCGTTATCAAAACACGCGTTATAGCAGAACTCACTGTAGTATTAAACTGAAATTACATTGCATGTTCCATGGCATATTTTTATAACTTAAAACAAATTTTCAATTTTCATTGTTCATATGTATATACAGTACAGTATTGTAGCATGAGTTATTCTTAATTGTAGTTTGAGCTTTTTTTGTTTACATTTGAGATAAGGTTAGAAGAGTAATTTGAGTATCTGTATTTGCAAACTACTGTACTGTCTTACTTAAATTAAGAACATAATATGTACTCTGTACTCTGCAAAATTCTAATCCATGATACATTGAGTCTATACAGTATTGTAGTTTGCATTTTGCTAATGCAGTACAGTAATACGTACTACTGTACAGTATTTACCTGCTATAAGAGATTATATGTAATGATGAAATACAGTAGATACATATGAATATAAATGTATATGCCTGTAGGTATTACTCTGAGTTGAATTGTAAAGTGCTTGTAAATATTTCTCCAGCCCTGGCAGCCACCCTCTGGCCCACTGCAGGGATATGGTTCTTTCCATCATCAGTATTGGTTGGATGGACGTTTGATAGCAGTAGGGGTGCTGGACGTTCTGCCCCATTGCCTTTCCTCGGTTTACCTCTATTATGATCCCGAGTTCTCATTTTTATCGTTGGGCACGTACGCATCCTTGAGGTAGGTTTCAGATATTTCTAATAGACTTTTTCATGTATGTTGTCATGAGTAACAATGTAACAGCATGTTGTATATACTGTACATGCTTTCTTTTTGTAATACAACATAGGAAATGAAAATCTCTCTCATTTTCTCTTTCAAACTACCTATTAAAGTACCATAGGATCTCATGTTTCGCGACTAATTGGTACCGGTTTTAGCGTCGCGTAAGTTAAAATCGTAAAACGGGTGACATTGAAACACATGTAAATAAGCCTAATCAGTTGTGCGGTGTTGCCCAAACCCTCCAACCCACCAAAAAAATAACATTACTGTAATGTATTCATACATATTATATTGTATTTATTGTTGATAACAATATTTGTATACACTACACTCATGATGGAGAATAACTTACCTTGATGGAATCAGTGAAATGCTTGACGGGGCTGGTTGATGTGTTCCGAGGCAGGGGGAGGGCTGGTTACTGCTTCCTCCCTGCTCCCTCCTCTATACCTCCTCGAACCTCAGCATCAAATCCTTCAAAGTCTTGAGGCAGCTCTTCCACCAGTAAGTCACCCAACACTTCAATATCATCATCAGTGGTGCCAGCATCATCTCCTAAAGCGATGTTTGCCAAGTTATTAACAGGCTGCGCCTTGCACAGGTACCGAGTATTAAGGGCCTGCTGATGAGCATTAACACGGGACATGTACAAGGTATATTCCTCTATACTGTACTCTTATTAAGGGCAGGCCGGGCACATAAGATTCCAAGGATGAGGCCTGGTATCGTATTCTTCTAGCTGTTCACCGAAACGTGCTATGTTTGTGAGCAACTCAGTTAGCTGGCGTGTTGTAGGTTCACCAGGCTTAACGTCATCCTCTTGTGTTGGTTGCTGTTCATCTTGTTCTTCATCCTCCTCCAACATTTCTTCAATTGTCGGTTGCTGTTGATGTTGACCAACGATTTCTTGCAAATCTTCAACCTGAACATCTGAAAATTCCGGTGCTGGGACTGACCGTGCTGCCGCCACGGACTGCCTCTCCCAGCTTGCCTCGGTCTGTTCTGCCCCACTTATCTCGGAGTTAGCTAACAAAGGCTTCCATGCATGTAGCACATGCAACATTAATCTTACGCCAAGCCTCAACAATTCTGTCCACTGCATTTTTAATATTATATTTCTTCCAAAATTCACAAACTGATAACACTTCACAGTTGCGGGTTGGTGAGGTGCTAGGAGTCGGGTCGTCTACCATCTCCTCCTCCTCCTCCTGGTTAGGTGGTCACTGTCAGAGAGTTCTGCCTCGATTTGTTGTAACTCAACTAATGAGTGTTTGCTGATGAAAGTCTTTATAGTGACTGAATACTGTAGTAGAACAGTTTAACTTTGCTGATGAATTCATGGTCAAATGGCTGCAGAAGCGATGTGGTGTTCGGAGGAAGGAAGATAACTTGTACAGTAGGGTGGTGTCCAATTAGAAACTTAAGAGTGTCCAGGAACATTATCCATCACCAGGATCACTTTGAAGTCAATGTTCTTCCCCCGGCAGTACTGTTGGGCATCAGGAACAAAGTGCTTGTCACACCAATCGGTGCGTAAAGACGTTGTAACCCACGCTTTCTTATTAGACGTCCAATAAACATTGAGCTGCGACATATTGGCATGACGGTAGGCTCTAGGACGAGCAGCACGGTTAACAACCAGGTGTTTCATCGAGAAATATCCACTTGCATTAGCTGTGAATAAAATTGTAATCCTGTCCTTTGAAGTCTTTACACGCCCTTGCCTGTTTTTCATCCTTGGCAATGAAAGTGGTCTTAGGCGAGCGCTTCCAGAAAATCCCAGTTTTGTCACAATTGAAGATTTACTTTACGCACTTCACTCATCGCTAATACTGTACACAAGAATTGATAATAGTTAAACAAGAATCTCGTGAAACGTAAGCACAGTGGGTTATATAATCCAAGGTCACTGCACCGTTAGCTCATTCAAACTAACTGCCGTTACGCCATAAACAAAAAACACCCGGCGGGTCAACGGATAGCAAAGGACCGTGACAATGTGCGCTGTCCATTCTCCAGTGACTTGCGTACCTGGTGTTTCACTCTACAGCAATCACAGTTTAGGATATTTCATAATGATGTTAGCAGAAAAATAGATGCTTTTTAATGATCTGTAAATTAATGAAATATGATAAAGAATATTTATTTCACCCTAGACTAAAAAATACCTAGATATATATTTTCTTCATTATAATGGGATTTTTCCTACACTGTCGACAGGATCGTTCATGGAAATATTTATCCAGACATCACATTTACAGTGTATTCTGCCTTTCATGTTTAGGGTGCTGAATAGGGATTCTTTCCTTTACACAAAATGTTATATGAAACATTTGACATTCCAGGAAATAATAATAACACCTCTAGGACACTTAGGAATACTTCTTATAGTCGTGTCGTAAACTGCAATACTGGTACTATACAGGTACTTTCTTTTTCCTCAAATTTTTCCTTTGATTATATTATATATGTTTTATCTTTCTAAACTCAAAAGTCACTAATTTTTTTCCACAGAGAACTAGCACTGACTCGTGAACTGCAACGTAGAGTGTCATCCTTAAAGTGGTATTACATGGGCTTCTACATTCATTCTTGTCCCAAAATGCGCTATAAGGGCAAATATACCCCCTCCTTTCTGCTGTGTCCAGAAACATATGTTTGGGTTCCCATTGAAAAATCTTTACCTAAATTAGAATTAGCAAAATATTCAAGATTACATGAAGATCCATCTGCTGTTGATGAAAATGGACAGGTGGACATCTGTAAGGTAAGAAACTTTTTATATCTCCTTTTAAGTATGAATAGTAAAGTTCTTCTTTGACACTCGGTGCCCTACAGCTTTGGGAGCCCTTATTTTCACAAACACTTTACTTGGGAGCATGAATTCAAGCTTCTTTTTCTGTAATCTTTAGGGCCAGATAAAATAAATTTATGGTTGTGGCCACACCTGTATAGATGCAAGTGTGACTGCTTGTAGAGATGTCGTTTGACGGTGAAAATAACACAACTCTGTACATCCAACAAATCTAGAGGTCATAACTAGGATCTGAAATAATGTGGTTATCTTTCATGTTTTGATCCAGAATGATACCCACTGTTGAGAAGGCTTTTTATATTTGCTATGAGCATATCTGGATTTTGTCCAATCCTTCTGGTAGGCAGGTAAACATTGATTACCTCAGACAGTTGTCAGCTAAGAGAGCACTTGCAAATCATACATACAGTATAATGCTTAGTTCCTAGTCTGTAAAACTCGGTTTGTAATAGGAAAGGCATCAAGTGTAAAACCTGCTTCAGATTTGCCTGATGGCAATGGGACCATGCTGTCAGTTAATCACCAAGTAATCATGGCTAACCCATGCAAACATAAAAAATTTCCATAAAATGGGATGTTGGTGGTGATGATTCCAATCACTGTATCAAGCTCCCTTACCAGGACAACCACATCAGATTTCAGTCACACTACATCACATGGTTTGCTCTTAGTCGGACCTTAAGGTCAAACAAATATTCTCTTTGTTATATACTGTATACTGTAATTCAGTGATCACATGGTTCTAAGTAATTATGGAGGATTGTGTCACAAACACCTCCCCTAAATTAAAAGATACAAATCCAGTGTAAATCTCCTTTCATGTAAATGATAAATACTTACCAAATGAGGGAGCTGGTCTTAGGCTATTATTAACTCTTAAATGGTAGCCATCATTGGTGTAGTCTGTATTTTGTGTATTTTTCAGATTTTTACATGGCTTATCTCTCTGAGAAATATAAATGAAAAATGTTTTCTTTATTTCATATAATTATGTTAAATCATCTTTTATATACAGTATATATACAGTAGAAGTCCAAAAATCCGGACTGCTTGGGGATTGGGTCGGTCCGGATTTTCGGATTTTCCGGATTCTCAGGCAGTACTTTTAAAATTCAAATTTTAGGAGGAATAAAGAAGAGATGAACAGATACATTTTGATAATCTATTCGTTAGCAAATATAGCATGCTTCAAAACGAGCAGTTTTAAAGAAAAAGCTTTGAATTCTAGAATTTTATTCTTTACCTTTTTTATATCATAAATTGTAGACTTTCCAATGTGGTATGTTTCCATTAGAACAGTATTGCTCACACCACGTACTAGTTTCTTAATTATTTCAAGTTTGTCACTCAATTTCAACGTGTTCTTTCTCTTCACACAACGAAGTTTATCTACTTTAGGAGCCATTATTATGGGCTTGCACAGTACTCTGTAAATGGAAAGAGTAGGGCTCAAAATTACACATGTTGTCGCAGTTTGATTGCTCGTATTAAAGTGGCAACTACGTGGTCGCTTGTAGTCGCTGTGCAGCTGTGGCGCTCACGCAGGCGCACATAAACACAAAAGCCCGCTAAAAAAAAAAAGTTTGAGTTTTTGAAAAGTCCGGATTCTCGGGTGGTCCGGATTTCTGGCATCCGGATTTTTGGACTTTTACTGTACATACTTCTGAAACACTTTTGCCCTCAAACAATGTTGGTTCATCTGTTTGCAACTTTACTCTTAGTCTCCTATATGTACTGTACTATACTATACTGTACCAGTGTACCACTCAACCTACTGAATAATTTTCTTACCTTTAATTGCTTATTATAAATACATTGTACTTGTTCTTTCTTTCTAGATACCAGTACTGCATGAAGACAAACTGCTTAGGTATGGAATGTATCCTTCTGATGATGAAGATGAGATAAAAGAATATGCAACTCTTGTAGGAGAAAAATGTGCATATTCCATTATGTTATATCGTAGCTGAGGTTTTCATCTCATGAAAGGATTAGTACAGCAGTAGGAGTTACCAGTACCTTTTGAACCCAGTCAGGACATGAATTGCACTTATTGATTTTTCTGTTAGACATTTTTTTATCATGGCATCGTTAGGAATGAAAACATGAAATTGATTATGAAATTGGCTCTTCTGCTCATTGTGAATGAAGAATATATATATATATATATTTGGATATACATACACAGTAGAATCCCAGTTACCCTGTATCCAGGCAACCAGTAGATTCAACTAACTGGCACCAGAATGAAATAATGATAGTAAAATAAAAATTCCTCCAAAATCAGCAAGTACCATAGGTTTAAATACCACACACAATGGGGATGAGCTGCCATATTTATGGCTATAATAAAAAAAATCGACAGATAGCATTACATAAAATACAATAACACATATTTTATGTACAGGTACAAAGAAAAAACTCCTTCCACACTTAAACCACCCTGTGGGCAACGCGGCCCACTTCAGCCAAGCTGACTACACAGATGTGTGGCTGCCATGATATTACATCACACTCTTCATTTTTCTTATTTTATAGTTTTATATTTTTCTTTATTTCTAAGCCACATTAGAGCATTTTACTGATTTTTCCATATCTTTTATAGTTTCATTACACGTAACAATATATCAGGTTGGCAATTCAGCCATTTAGTTATAGCAAGGCCTTGGCTATAACTGCTACCACATCACGTTCACTTCTTACACATACACACCCAATGGGGTGGTGAGTCGGCGACGTAGTCGTAGCCCTCTGCCTACACACACACACACACACACACACACACACACACATTCAGTTCTCACAAATACACACCCACGCTCTTTATTTTTCTTATTAATAGTTTCATATTAGATTTTCTTTATTTATAAGCCACAGTAAGAATATTGTAATGATTTTTCCACAACTTTTATGATTTCATTACAGGTATGTCCAATAAACACAACGCTTGGGCTGGAGAGTCAGTGTAGTTCACTTCCCACAAATACACACCCATGCTCTTAATTTTTCTTATTTTATTGTTTTATATTTTCTAAGCCACATCTTTTATATAGGGTAGAATAAGTGTTAAAAAGTTCATTTTCTGAGACAAATTTACATAGTCAGCCTGTAGCACTGTGCATTGTAGGATTTATTGGGGGAACCTAAGAGTGATTTTCAACTAACTGGAAAAAGTGTTTATGCATTACCTCTCAATTCCCAGAGGTGCTGGATAGCTAGGATTCTACCAGACTCTGATATATATATATATATATATATATATATATATATATATATATATATATATATATATATATATATATATATATATATATATATATATATATATATATATATATATATATATATATATATATATATATATATATATATACATATACATATACATACAGGGGGTCCGTTCCTGAGGGTGTTCATAAGTCGGAACACATGCTTTGTGCATACATACAGTACTTACAGAACAATGTTTAAAATCCCTTTATATCATAGCGTAAGACCTTATATACGACTAAAGTGACTTAATATAAGAGGGAAGAAGAAATAGAATGACAATATATAGTAAATGAAAGTAAAAAATAAGTCATCGGGTAAATAAATTACTGTAGATTCAAAGTTTAACCTCGTTCATATTGGTTGGCGTTCATAAGTCGGACATTCGGTAAAGTCGGGATATATATATATATATATATATATATATATATATATATATATATATACATATACACAGTACTGTACACACACACACACAGAGGTGTCCTCTTGGTTATGGAAGGATTGTGCCCTTGAAAATGTTTCCATAATGTGGATTTTGGTAACACATGACCAATTTTCCCCTTGACTCCCATTATACTTGTATAATTGGAGATACGTTCACAAGAAAATACTTTCGGCAAAAATATGTAGTAGTGTACAGTCATTTGTATGAATGAAAATAAACATTTTCAAACACATACATTGATTACTTCATGATGTAACACGATAGTAAATGCACACAGAACTTGAATTTAAATCACCACAAACGATGTTGAGTGCTGTGTGAAGTGGCGAGGTGAGGTGGTGAGATCGGAGTTACTGGGAGTTGCCTCCTTAAAACATCAAAGTTAATGTCCAACATAATTCCTTTATGGGATCTTTAAGCACAACTGCTTTTACTTGAACTTGATGGCCTCCTTCCACTCATTTTAAATAAGGGTACATACACAGTAACACAGTCCTGAACACAGACGCAAAACCGAACATGCTGGGGTTTGAAATCAAACTGAGCACCATTGGTGTGGGTGTGCCATCCTCCACCATGTTGTAGCAACCACCAAGAAATTCACACAAAATAAGTTTTATAATTTGGGTGATTTTTTTCTATAGAGCAATTTTTCGTTTGATAAACGTTAAAATTTACTCAAATTCCGTAAGGGCGAATTTTTGGGCCATATCTCGATTTTCTTGGTCATAATTTCCAAATACCTTAAGTGCCAATTTCCGTAACCCGGGGGATGCCTGTGTATACTATACTGTACATGTATCCTCGATAATCACGGGACCCGATAATCGCTGATCTGGCTTATCACGGTATCCTCAATTGTGACCATATGTTTGCTTATCACTGATTGACCTGGGTTATCACGGAATTATCATGGGACAGCGGCAGGTCTGCGAGAGCCAGCGGTACCAGCGACTGCCAAGAGATGGCAGTACTGTTTGTGGTGCCAGCTTCCAGGAATATTTGGGAAAAACTTTTGTGTAGATTTTCTTTCTGTAGTCATACTTTTCTTAAAATAAATAAATTACAACAAAAAATACTGTATTGCCAAACCAGTAAATAAAAGCCGAATAAAAGCATATACTCCCTGGTTCACCATGCCAACGCAGACGCCACCTCCGCTGATTCCCTAGCAACGCTCCTCCCCCACCTTTTGCTGCCATCTTCCCGCCCCCTCACTCAACCAGCTAACTTGTGTGCAAAGAAATATTTATTCCCTTTATGTATTTGCCCTTAGGACAGTTATTTCTTTTACCTATTTTCACAATATGTATGTAGGATGGTGTGTGCATGTACTGTAACTGAGTAAAAATAAATGAAGAAAGTTACGTATATCTACCTGAAAATACAAGAAGAAAAACAACCATAACACCAGTAGCCAGGTTGTTACAGTGATTAGTATAACCTGGCTACAGTGCTGCCAGCGATGTAACGGACACAAATGTGAAGAGAAAGTTATATGTAAATCTTCATTCGTATCAGGTATTTGTAGATTTAAAAATAAATGTTACAGGTATGGCATTAATAGATTATAATGCTTATAAGATTTCAGAAATGGTTACTGCTTAGCTACCTCTGAAGAGTTGGGTGTCTGCCGTACGGAAATTAATCATCTCAGGTTATCATCATCTGTATTTACAATCAATCTTTTGTATTTACAGTAATTTTTTTTTTAATTAATTAAAAATAATAATAATGTGTTTAAGTTAGCAATAACATTTTTAATTCTAGAGTTGGGTTAGGTAGAATTTAGCCAACTGGAGACAGCAACTGGGGGATTCATTTGTTTACGGGAGGCCTCAACTTTACATATAGGACACAGGCTGATTTCTTTTAGCCATTTTTCAGACAAAAAAGTGCGTCTTGTATGCCATAAAATATTATAGTAAAGATATGTTGCTAGTATTATACTTCTAGTGTACTTACACATTTTTGGGGGTATATTTTGGTCAGTTAGTTGATGCATCTTTGGGGTCGTGTGACGAAACTAATTTTTCTCATATGTTATCTGTTACGATATGTACCTGTATAGTTTTGTTTATCATGGTAGTTTTCTGGAACCTAACCCCCGCGATTATCAAGGATACCGTGATAAACAAAACTATACATATCGTAACATAACATACGAGAAAAATTTATATACGTATATATATTGCATGATTTTGTTATGGATATTCTTAGGTTAAGTGAAATGACAGGAATGAACTGGATTGAAACTCTGAGGCCTTGTTGTGGAATGGGAACACATTACAGCAGTAAGAGTGAATGAATGATGGTGAATGAAAATCAGTGTGTTTTAATTTTTGGTTCCATTCACCCAAAAATTTAGTGGGAAAGGGCTGACAAAAGTGAAAAATATGTTTGGTAAGAGATTCTTATGCTTTATCAATTCCATACTTGGTTCATTTAAGCAAAAACTTTGATTTTATAAATTATTTATATTCCCAAATTTTATATGAGGATTAATTATGAAAAACAGAATGTACTTATCCATTACAGTAAATAATTTTCAATACCTCATTGTTATTCTTTAAAACAAGAGTAAATTCATATTGTTTATGAAATTATGAATACTGTAGTAATCTTTAAAAATTCAAAATAACATTCTCCTTAGTGCCTGTAATTTTCCCATAACTGTACCAAGATTCATGTACTTTGTATTGGAAAGCAGTGCTCCTCTGAGACAGTGTCAACTTATCAAACGTTTAAAATAATTTACTGTAATTTAATATAATTTAATGTAATTAAATTTTAGATGACCAGTTTAAGGGGAATGAGCTCCCTGGCAAAAGTTATGATCAGAGGACTTACAGTACAGTACTTCACTTCATTCTTCAGCAAAGAGAATCTAAATGTTCTTTATTATACCTTTTATTTATTGTAAAGTATGTCATTTTGTTAATCATTGTGCTTGATTTTCTTTATGTTTTCTTATATCTCCAGGTTTGCCAATACTGTATACAGTATAGTGGTAAATTTCGGTACCATGCAAAAATGAGAGACAAAAATTTGGAAATTTGAGCTAATTCAGAAAATTGAGTATTTTGGCAGTGTGCACAATTATTGAGGGCAAAGTGTGCTCGTGCGTGTTCTTGTGTGCGTGCGTGTGTCTGTATGTGTGTTCTTGTGTGCGTGCGTGTCTGTGTGTGTGTTCTTGTGTGCGTGTGTGTCTGTGTGTGTATTCTTGTGTGCATGCATGTGTCTGTGTGTGAGCATGTGCATGCTGGAGTGCCTGAATATGTGTGTGTGCTTGAATGCATGCATGTGTGTATTATTAAATTGTACATCTATTTTGTCCTCTTGATGCAATAATATGTGTATAATCTTATTCGTAGTGATATTTGTATCTATTTTTCCCTGTATGTGTACGTATATCTAATATACTAATTCTCAGTACATACAACAAGGTTTATTAAACAGTA